TAGTCAAACGTCTCTCACATTGACATGATAAAGATGATTGATGCTGCCTTGAAGCGTCTTCCCTGCTGTGACCTTCAGTCTATTGGTTAAAGTGACACTGATGTTAAACGCTGTTCACAGGGGTGATAGCATCAAGTGCTATGGAGTCACGATCGTGACAGCGCAGCGAGATAAAGTGGATTACTCTGTTTAAATTCTTCCTCGGGTTCAAAATTAGATATCTTCACGTAGTAGTTTAGACTGACCTTAGACCGAGCCTTAAGGGCAACTCCTAAGTGACATTCAATGAGGCCTTCTGGTTTGAAAGGTAACCTTTGTCCAGGATTTACATCAACCCTTACGCCAGAAAAATGTTTCTGAAAACCCTGAATACGCTGATTATCGACATTTCTGAACCAAACATTTTATACGAGAAAAGATCATGGTTTGTGTGCATCAATTAAACTTATTGTTGCCTTTTTTTGTTTTGTTTTTTGTTCCTTTGTTTTGTTTTTGTTTATGATTATTTTGTAATTTTAATTTTCTTTTCTTTTCTCATGAATCGTACATTTGGAAGCAACTGAATGGTAAACCGCCAATCCTCTGATTGAAGGATGACCCGCTCTAAAGATCAGTGGCAGTTTGGGAACAAAGTTGAGTTGTTTTTTTTTACCTCAAATTTGAGTGGATTGGTGCTGGCACTTGTTTGCTTTGAGCAGCAAACAAGTGCAGAAGGAGTTTGGGCAAGAAACATGTTTATGCTTGATGTAAAATGTGCCGATGCTCCTCAGGCTGAGTCAGCCTCTACTAGTTTGCCTGAGGGGAAACAGGAATGTCTCACTGCTCACTATTGTTCCTGCAGAGATTCATGAGAAGCGATAGCACGGCACTAAAATAGTCTTTGATATAACAACACTGATACCTCCTTGGGTGAGTACCACAAACAAACATGGATACTCTCTTTTAAAAGGAACATTGTGGAGGATTAAGGGGGATTTGTCAGAATGGAATATAATATTCAGAAATATGTTTTTGTTAGTGTATAATCACCTGCTTATCATCTGCTTCACGGAGGGTTCCATGCTGCACCGTTTGTACAGTAGCCCAGAAGCGGACAACCTTAGCTTTGGCCTTTTGCGTTTTTACCAGGCGGCAACCTCCGGTTCTGAAGAGTGAAGCTAATGCAGAAGGGCCTTAAACTTGTAAAATTATCTCTACTGACCAGCAGGGGGCAACTCCTACAGTTGCAAAAAGAAGTCTGATTGTATAGAAGTCTATGAGAAAATAACTACTTCTCTCTTGATTTATTACCTCAGTAGACATTGTAAACATGAGTTCATGGTCTCAATCTCTAATTTCAAGTCTTCGTCAATACAGCATGATGTTCATTTAGTAAATGATGGTCCATTTAGAGTCAAATAGACCATAAAGCAGGGTCTGCTTTAGAGTGTTTTAGGGCTACCTTGTGAATGACAGGTCGCTAACCTACCAGAGTCGTATACGTCACTCCTCCACCGTCCAAATATGGTCACTTCCGTTCATTGGTTGCAAAAAACCAAGATGGTGGCTGCCGTAATCCACGGTGGCGAGGGCCAAAACGACAAACTCAAGGCTTCAAAACGGCAGTCCACAAACCAATGAGTGACGTCACGATGACTACGTCCTTGTCTATGGTTTTTACATTACCTTAAAGCCACTGTAGTTCTCAAACGCGCTTGGCGGGGTATTCAGTTGGATGCAATCTGCAACCTCAACACTAGATGTCACTGAATCCTACAAACTGCTCCTTTAAAACATTTTTGAGACATTTATTGGTATTATTTTTAAAACATTTACTCATATGCATTTGAATATTTGAGTAAACACGTTGTTGTAGTATGCTTTGGGCAAGTTATGAAACATGCCGCACTAAGATATAAGAGCTGTTGTCTTTTGCTTGTTCCCTTCACTGACGCACGATGGATTGCTGCTGCATGAACAAATGCTTTATGCTCTGTGACGTCTGCTGACTGAATGTTCTTTGCTGCTTTCAAACCCCTGTGCTTACATCTCTGCATCCTATTCTCCCTGTCAGAATGTGTCACAATTAGTCCGTACCATTGTGCAGATTTGGAGCGTGACCCAGTATGTGTCAGTGCTCTGGGTCACTTTGTGGCAGTATTTTCATTTTCCATGTACAGTTTGCATTAGCAGGAGCAGTACGGGAACAGAACAAAGACAAATAACTAATTCGGGAGTACACTTCTGTGCTCTAATGAGCAGAGTAAGAACTCAAACCAGAATACACCATCTCCCTATAAATTGGCTAATTTGCTTCTCTAAACTCAAAACATGAAAAATGTATATATATCCTGACTGGTTATAAGTCACAAAATGATAAAGCAGCATTATCTGTGAAAATGTCGCCGGGGCTTAATGTGCTATATCGCAACCAATGACATTTAACTTTGGTGTTCTGTTAACAGCACCCTTTAGAAAATAAATGAGTGCTGAGCCCGACTGCACATATTAGCATTATTATAAAAGAGAGTATGCCGCGTTGCTGCCCTCCATGCCTTGATTCAATCAGTTCCTCAGTACTTTGTGGTAGATAATGTCAGTTTGACCTGGATCAAATGATGTTCTGTCAACTAAGAGTTCTGTCTGAACTCTAGGTTAAGAGTTTTCTTATTTTTTTTGCTGGGGCGTGCACATCCCATGCCCGTATAATATGTAACTGATAAGAGAGCTGAACTTTGTCCTCAGACAAACACACATTAAATGTGTTGAACTGTATTTAGTCTCTCTGGCTGTTTCTCTGCGTTTGTCTATATTTTCGGATTCACCTCTTTTTTGGAAGAACTCCACCTCAAGAAGCCAAAAACTTGAAGTGAATTTGCAATGGCTTCAGGGAATGGAAGTAATGGACCCAACAATCTTGTATTTGATGCAAGTACAATGACTTATTCATTCTTTTTAAACAGAAAAATACTGCTTTTAATTTTGCATCTTGTTTAATAGTGAGGATTGAACTTGAGTTCTGTTGATCCCGAGTCACGGTTGGCATTTTACATTGGAAGTTTCCAAAGTTTTGCAACTTCTGCTGAAATTCTTATGAAGCTTCCACAGCCCTTGCCCAGTGCCCACGCTTCACACAATGCTATTTTAGTTTTAATATGTTATTAAAATTCATGAAGCTCTATAACCAGGTTAAAAAAATACTATACATTGTAATAATGATTTCAAGATAATTGATATACACTATGTGACTTAGTTTAAAAAAAAAACACACATTAGGTGTTGTCAAATAGTTAAAAAGCTATTCCATAGAAATAATTAAGATTTAAGGATTCATGAAAGATTGAAAAGGTACAGTGTAATAATTGTGTTTATAAAGGTATAGATGTAGGCTGTATCTTTATTCTCTTTTATTTTGAAGAGTTTGAGTGGTACGTAGGATTGCAGAATAAGAGTAATACTCGTCATTCATTGGTTAACGATGTTTGGGTCGCTGGTATAAGAGGAAGTAAAAGACAAGGCGGGAGTTAAGTTGGGTCGCTTGACTGATGAAGTTGTAACGGGAGTGTGATGGAAGTTTTGTGAAAGTTTTGTGCAAATAAGTGTTGGGAACGTAAAGGAGCGTGTTTGGGTTATCAGCATCTAAGAAACTAAATTCTTGACATCAATAGAATTATTAATGTCAGTAACAATTATTAATGATTATTAATAATAACGGGGCACCACCCTGCAAACAGGGACCAATAACCAAACGATAAACTAAGTCTCATAATTAGTGTTCACTCACAATGTCAACAGTCTGAGTACTATTACACATTCAGAGTGAAAGTGAAGGTTTAAGTTCGAGCACAGACCACATATACAGCTATTATCACAATACATGCACAAAGTAATCCCAGACAGCTGCTCTTTAAAATATAACAGAGTTTATTACATTCTAATACTAATGACTCGATACATTCATGAGCACGCTATCTAAAATCAACAGACTATGGAAAAGAGGGGGGGAAGTATGTGTGTACATGTAGTATTTGTGTATGTGTGCGTAAGGGGGAGGAGCGAGGGAACAGCTCAGCGACGTATGACGTAGTTGGGACGTGGTGAGTCTCTCATGCGCGAGACTCAAAATGCCGGATAGCCAACAGGGGACCCGGCGTCTATACGTGCCGGTAGCCGTTTAGCACGTAGCTACATTAGCTCAAAGCTATATGTGTGTGTGGATTAGTAAAAGAGATGGGAAAGGAACAAAATTAAATAAAACAAGAGATTAAGATCCTTCGTGCCGCACGGGAGTACGGAAGATTACTCTCTCAGCCAGGGGAGCAAGAACCGCGACTCTTTGTCTCAGCCGGCGGTTCTGACCTCCTGAACTGATGAGGAGCAACTTCGACCTCACTAGTCGGCTATCTCAACACAAATCACGGTAGCATGAAATACACTAACTTCTCCACAACCCCAACGATCTCAGCGACCGTTAGTGTCGGCGATACTTTAGGCACATAAACAAGATAAAATAAACACAAATGAAACTCTCTTAACTCTGCCCAGAATCTATTTCGCCTTACGGTACGATGCAAT